GACAGGTTCTTACAATCATGCGAAAGCATCAATTGTGTGCCAATCTCAAGAAGTGTAGATTTGCAGCAAGCGAAATGCTACTTCTTGGGTGCATCGTTGGTAAGAACGGAGTACGTCCTGATCCCGAAAAGATCAAGGTGATCACCGACTGGCCTGTGCCGGTTGATGTCAAAGGTCTTCGAAAACTCCTTGGGCTAGCGGCGTATTTGCACAAGTATTCACGCAATTACGCCGAGATGACTATACACCTCTCTCGTTTGTTGAAAAAGAACGAGAGGTGGTTATGGAACGCTGAATGTCAGCGCTCCTTTGATAAAATCAAGCAGAGCTTGATGCAATCCCCAGTCCTAGCAATTGCCGATCAGGACAGGCCATTTCATGTGGTCTGTGATGCCAGCGATTTCGCAATCGGCTGTGCATTAATGCAGTACGATCTTGAAGGCGTTGAACGCGTCGTCTGCTATCAGTCGCGTCAGCTGCAACCAGCTGAGCGGAACTATCCAGTGCATACCAAGGAACTCCTTGCCATGAAGTATGCACTCGCGAAGTTCAGAGTCTATCTATTAGGAGATAGGCCCTTCATTGTTTACACAGACCATGCGTCGTTACGCACAGCAGTAAACAGCCCGCACCTTTCACAACGAATGGCGCGGTGGTTGTCATTCTTTGCAGAATACTACTTTACGGTAGAGTACAAACCAGGACGGCTTAATGTCGTCGCTGATGCACTCTCACGTCGACCCGACTTTGAACCAGTCGTGAGACCCAACAGTGGGACAGCCACTGTTGCGGTTATGACGTCCACAATGCATCGCCGACGTTACATGATGATGTGAGGCGGGCATATGCCCAAGATGGAGAGATTGTGAAGCTGTTGACACATCTCTCACAACCATCTCGAGAATCGTTGAAACGATTGTCGTCTGCGTATCGATCTGCATCAGATCGATACACTACTCGCAACGGTTTACTGGATCATACAGCCGTTACTGGTGATACACCACGTGTTGTCATCCCAGATGATACTGATCTGCGTTTGCGGATCATGTTTGAGTATCACGATGCTCCTACAGGAGGACATCGTGGACGGGAGAAAACATATTTCACGGTGAGTCGAGACTTTTACTGGCCCCGCCAGTATCAGTTAGTGCGAAAGTATGTTCGCGCATGCGAAGTCTGTCAACGAGTGAAGTCAAGTCCTTTGCTGCGTGCACCTTTACAGCCTCTACCGGTTCCGTCAGAGTGCTGAGAATCCATCTCAATGGATTTCGTCTTCGGGTTACCCAAAGACGCACGCGGGAATACGGGTATTCTCGTTTTTGTTGACAGATTCAGCAAAATGGTACACCTGGTGGCTGTACCCGAGTCAATCACGGCAAGTGTCTGAGCTTGTTTCATTATTAACAACATCTTCCGACTTCATGGGTTGCTCCGTGAACTCGTATCAGACAGAGATCCACGCTTCACTGCTGATTTCTGGCGCTCCGTGTTCAAATCACTCGGAACGCGCTTGAAGATGTCGACATCTGATCATCCAGAGTCAGACGGTCAGACGGAACGAGCCAATCGTGTCCTCAAAAAGATACTTCGAGGATACGTACACTCCTTTAAGAGTTGGAGTGAGTTCTTGCCAATGATAGAGTTTGCCATTAACAACTCGGTGCATGCGTCCACGACACATACACCGTTTTACGTGAATGGCTTGCGCCATCCGCGTGTACCCACCCTACTCGAATGTAACTCTGGTTTGAGTGGGGGGAGACTCGCGCGAGCAAAAACCAATTTGGTTCACGCTTATCACGCTCTGACGAAGAGGTCATTGCGTTTGATGCCGATATCGATAACATCGATATCGAAGAAGATGATGCCAGTGAGAGCGCGGAAGCCCTCACTGAAGATAAGATTGATGTTGCTGCAGTGCACTCACAGCGCACTGAATCTAACGAGTTATCAGATAAATTCATACTGGCTCGTGAAACGGTAGTCCGTTTTGTGCAAGACTCCATCGCCGAAGCGGTGGATAAGCAAAAGCAAAACGCAGACAAGAATAGAGGGGCAAACACTCTTTTATTTAATAAAAGTGACTTAGTCCTACTGTCTACGGTTAGCCTACCAAAGCATGTAGTGACTAACTTGGGTAATAGTAAACTTCTACCCAAGTACATCGGTCCATTTCGTGAATTGCATCGCCTAGGCAACGCATACACGATCGAACTTCCACGTAAGATGCGAACGTATACCACGTTTTACGTTGGTCGGCTTAAGCCGTACCATCAGTACGCTGTATCTTCCGATGAAGAACGCCCTTGCGCTCAAGCATCTCACAGAGGGCCTTGTGCTCCCGATGGTGGATATCGACAAGGGTCTGAAGAGCAGTTATCTCAGCCCGAGACCGATCAATATTCCCACGAGCTACCCTTAGCTCGTCACGCAGAGATGTCAAAGCTCTCTCGTTCTCAAGCTGAGCAAAGGAAAACTCAGCTCGGTGCTTCAAGACAGCGTCCGCCAGTTGGAGACGCCTGTCCCGCTCATGTTCGAGAACACCGCGCAACGCTTGCGTTACGCGATCAAAGAAGCTCTCGGGGATACACGCTTCCCCACGATTGTGTGGAGAGCGTTTTTCCTCCTCCTCCACCCCCATTAGAGGACTCTTGCGGTGGCCAGCGCTATCTGGTTGAGCATCTGTTGAACCACCGCGACGTGAACGGACGTCGGACGAGCTATCTCGTCCGGTGGCGCGGCTATCCTCCGTCCTGGGATACTTGGGAGCCCCGCTCCCAACTGATGGTTGACGTACTGGGTCTGGTCGAGCGGTACGACGCGGCACATCCTGTGCCGTGTAAGGACCGCCGGAGAAAGTCTTCCCGGCACGGTCGTAAAGGGATTTCAGGTTGTCAATCCCTTCGTACATCTCACTAGAGATACGTACGCGCCACCACGGGCTAGTAAGGAGGTAAGCCTCCTTAGGTGATCGCGCTGAGTTGTTCACACAACAAGGGCACGGGTCTCCCCAGCAAAGACAGGGTAACCCACCCTCCTTAGACAGACGATGCAGCTTGTAGCGTGCACCTGTCGGGGTTCTTTTCCCAAACTCATCACGAGCTTTGATAAGTTTGTCGTTCCAAACGTCACGACCTACATCCTCAAGGTTATGGATGTAAGCGCTCCACGCTTGAAGCAGTGAGGGACCACACGTTTGTGATTCCCACCGTACCATTGATGACTAAAGAAAGCATCGATGAAGAACTCATGCTCAGTGTGATAATCTGTCGCACTGGGGTCAAGGTGATGGATCCTTGACGAATCGAACAATCGTGTTCGATAGCGATCACTTGTCGTCGCCTACAAGCGATACATGACTGACTTTGGAGGCAGCCATGTCTTCTTTGTAGGAGCGAGACGCAACACAATGCGGTCCCGCTCTTCGTGCGACGTGCCGACAGAAGTACTGGCACCTCGTTGCGAAGTGGTGTCAATAGGAGAACCGACACCACTGTGAGCGCCCGAATCTTGCGACCTCGAGCGCCTTCGATTTGGCGATGGTTCATCTGATTCGTCAGACGAACCAAAGATGCTACGACGCATAGCATCATCCATTCCACGCTTGGCAGGCGGCTTGGTTTCAACCGCCTTCAATAAAGATTCCTCTTCCGTATCAGGAGAGTATGAGACACCGAGCTCATACTCTGTGAAGACATGAGTGTCTTCATGACGAGCGCCTGCATCACCAGGTGATACAGGCTGAGTCGTTTCAGCAACGATGACACATCAGTTGCTGTGGTTTCTGCTTCGGCGTCCGCACAGAGACGTGCACACGCGCTCTCGGCGGCCTTGCTCGCGCATCGCATGGGCTTGTTAACCATGCGATGAATTGTTGGAAAGTGGACTCGGACCAACAAGTGCAAACCCTGTCCCAAATGATTTGGGACGAGTATTCATTTAGTCAATCAGTCACTAAAGTGACTGATGGTTTAGGGGGTGATGTAACGGGGTGAATCGTTACATAACAATTTATAAGAAATTGTTAATAGAATAAAGCTGCAAGAGTTATATTCTCAGAATATTGTCATAAGGACAAATGTTCTGCAGCACTTACGAGTAGTTCCTAATTGGTTGATATAGGCCATTATATCAACCAACGAAGATGCGCCACGACAGACGCACGCAATGAGTGGTGAGCAGATAGTTGATTTATACATTTGTATTCAGACATAGTTAGATGAAGATAAACAGTGGTTTATTAACAGACTTTAACTATGACAAATACAGTTCTACTTTTTACTTTAACCAAGTACTCGCTTCTCCTTACCGTCTTCCTCTGCACGTACCAGTGTACGTGAAGTTCCGAGGCACCGCCTTATTCATGTAGTCAGAATAAGTAGCTTGTACTGTCATCAGTACAAGCTTCAGGGTGCCCCGTTACACCTGGTAGCACTTCGTAGTCCGTCCAATGACCACGTTCACATCTAACATGAATATGTTGGATGATGAAGATGACCAAAGCTTTCACGCTACGCGTGACGGCTACTCCCATTTGAGCGATGACGAATGGGATGAGGTTGAACGGATGGGTTCAACCATGGGATTCCATGCTGTTAGCGTCATGCTAGAGGCTCTCAATAGAGATGCCCAACATGCTACTATCGCCAAGTTCATTCAAAATGAACTTGACGCTGAACGCGAGAAAGTAGCCTTGCTTCACCAACAAGGTTCTCAACAATCAGAGTTGTTGAGAGAACAGGGTGCTCAGCAGTTTGAGCTGTTGAGACAGCAGCAGGCTGCTGCTGGTGGGTCGATGCACTCGCGTCGACCCGAGACCTTGAAGATTGACATCTCCAAGTATAGGGGAGTCGAAGGGGACTCCCTCTTGAGATGGTTCGTCGAATTGGATGACGCCATAAGGGCGCGTCGCATCGACGACGGGGATATGCAAGTTGCATTTGCCCAGTCAAATCTGGCAGGACGTGCCAAGACTTGGGCTTCGGGGCTCAAGTTGCACGACCCATATCCGTTTGGGTCGTTAGGAGTCTTCAAGTCGCGGCTCAGAAAAACGTTTGAACCGCCTAGAGCTGAGTTCAGAGCTCGAACTGAACTCTTGAAGCTCAAGCAAGGTAAGCGTGATGTGCACGCTTACGCGCAACATATACGACATCTCACGAGTTATATAAGTTCCAACCCGGTGGATGAACACACGTTGGTTTCGGTGTTCATGCAGGGTCTTGCGATGGTCCCTTCAAGACTCACCTGTTCCAACTTGAACTAGATTCACTAGAACAAGCCATTTCCATTGCGGAACAGAAAGACTTCAGTCTGGGACAGGCTTGCGCCAGCTCGACATCGTATCGTCAACCGAGACGATATGACAGCGGAAGTCCAGAGCCGATGGAACTCGGTTATGTAGAGAGCGAGAAGGCTCGCTCTACAGACTACAAGAAGTTTCAGAAATGCAACAGATGTCAGAAGACAGGACACTACGCTTACGAGTGTAGTGCCCCTCGTCCAGTGTCTCGCAACACTGAGCGTAGTGACCGTCCACCCATGAGAAAGGGGCAGGGACGCGGGTCCGCTGTTGGTGCGAAGACTCAACAACGGGATGGACCGTCAAAAAACGGACAGGTTTAGTAGTTGCGGAGCACCCTACTGATCCAGCAACGTCAAGAGAATTTGTAGGCCTCTTGATGAAGGTTGCTCCCAACACACAAACATTGTGCGTTGCTGCTCTAGGTAATGAGATCTCACTCATTACCTTGAAACTCGAAGTGACGAATAAGTTGTCCCTTCGAGCTCTAGTCGAGTGTGGGGCGTCCAACAATTTTGTGCGACGCCAATCGCTAGAAGATGGCCACTTCAAGTTCAGTGAATGTGACACACCTCCTACGAGAATGACGGTACGTCTTGCAACAGGGGCATCCGTAACCGTCATGAAGCGTATAGTTAAGATCCACTATACGCTAGAAGACACCCAATATGACGATGACTTTATCGTATTGGATTTGGATGACAAGTTTGATGTCATCCTTGGAATACCGTGGCTCAGAAGGTACAACCACGGGCAAACTGGCAACATCGAACAGTAACGATGCCTGCCGCTTGTTCATCAGATGGCCATCTGATGAACGTTTTGGAGCGTCCACAAGCGTGTGGATGTACTACGAGTGAGTGCGATGGCCTCACTTGTGGTACGGTCGTTAGTACGACTGCACAAAACCTTAGTGTAACAAACAGTTACACTTCGGAGCAAGATTCCGGCGGCTGTGGAGAAACACAGGCTGCGCCGAAGGTCCACCACTCGAATAAGTCGAGTTGACCGGGACAAAGATGTATCCCTAGCGGGGAACATCTAGAAGAGAAACAATCGATCGCTCAGGTTACGATAATCCTGGATCGACTGGAGAGTCTTTCGTAGAGGACCTCGCTGTGGTTGCGCAACCCCAGCTAGAGGAAGTTAAGGGAATAAGTCCCGATATTACAAATACGGTGGAAATAGGTTCCCCGAAACTCGAAGGAATAAGTCCTTCGAGGCCTGAGGGAATAAGTCCCCAGGAAATGACAGAGACAATGAATGTCATAGTCAATGATGGATCACGCGTAGGCGCTTATACACTTGATCTGATTGCGCCTCCGAAGTTGACTTCGGAGATCACCCAGTTGCCAATGCTCGAACATAAAAGGTTCTTGCGTGATCTGCGTAGTGGAAAAGTCAAGCAGATCTGCGTACTCGTCGCTGACGACGAGTGTGTAGCCGACATAAGGTCAGCAACAGTGTTCACTGAGAACGAGACAGTTTTCAGTAGTTCATCTATGGACGAGAGTGTCCTCGATGAAAAGACACGAGTTGAGCGATATGACTCCCAATCGTGGGAATCACTCAAGACAAATCCTCTCTATAAGGATTTGGTTAAATTCAAGGATGTATTCCCTGAAACTGTTCCGTGCGAGTTACCGAAGGATAAAGGTACTCGACACGAGGTCGAGCTTAAACTAGGCTCGAAGTACTGTGTCATGAAGCAGTGGCCACTGCCTCGTAAACAAGTACTTGCGATCGACAAGTTCTTTGCCGATCGTTTAGCTGCGGGCCATGTGAGGGAATCAACTTCCCCACATAGCTCTCCGATCTTCTGTGTGCGAAAAGCAACAGGAGGGTGGCGGATTGTGCATGCATTTAACAAGTTGAATGCTGCAACGGTACCGGCTCAGACGCCCATACCAAGGAAAGACGTAATCATTGATGGTATGTCAAAGAGTACCATCTCTTCGTCCATGGATTTGATGGGTGGCTTCTATCAAATCCTTATGTGAGAACGGGATATACCCTATACCGCAGTGAGCACGCCTAGCGGCATGCTCTGGGAATGGCTTGTAATGCCACAAGGGCTTAGTAATGCCCTTGCCACGTTCAAAAGATGTGATACACATCTGTTGAGACCAGCACGAGAATTCGCACCGGGTTATTTCGATGACGTATTCATCCATAGTCGGGCTATGGATGGAAAGTCGGATGTTGAGGTTCACCGATACCACGTCCGACAGGTTCTTACAATCATGCGAAAGCATCAATTGTATGCCAATCTCATGAAGTGTAGATTTGCAGCAAGCGAAATGCTACTTCTTGGGTGCATCGTTGGTAAGAACGGAGTACGTCCTGATCCCGAAAAGATCAAGGTGATCACCGACTGGCCTGTGCCGGTTGATGTCAAAGGTCTTCGAAAACTCCTTGGGCTAGCGGCGTATTTGCACAAGTATTCACGCAATTACGCCGAGATGACTATACACCTCTCTCGTTTGTTGAAAAAGAACGAGAGGTGGTTATGGAACGCTGAATGTCAGCGCTCCTTTGATAAAATCAAGCAGAGCTTGATGCAATCCCCAGTCCTAGCAATTGCCGATCAGGACAGGCCATTTCATGTGGTCTGTGATGCCAGCGATTTCGCAATCGGCTGTGCATTAATGCAGTACGATCTTGAAGGCGTTGAACGCGTCGTCTGCTATCAGTCGCGTCAGCTGCAACCAGCTGAGCGGAACTATCCAGTGCACACAAAGGAACTCCTTGCCATGAAGTATGCACTCGCGAAGTTCAGAGTCTATCTATTAGGAGATAGACTCTTCATTGTTTACACAGACCATGCGTCGTTACGCACAGCAGTAAACAGCCCGCACCTTTCACAACGAATGGCGCGGTGGTTGTCATTCTTTGCAGAATACTACTTTACGGTAGAGTACAAACCAGGACGGCTTAATGTCGTCGCTGATGCACTCTCACGTCGACCCGACTTTGAACCAGTCGTGAGACCCAACAGTGGGACAGCCACTGTTGCGGTTATGACGTCCACAATGCATCGCCGACGTTACATGATGATGTGAGGCGGGCATATGCCCAAGATGGAGAGATTGTGAAGCTGTTGACACATCTCTCACAACCATCTCGAGAATCGTTGAAACGATTGTCGTCTGCGTATCGATCTGCATCAGATCGATACACTACTCGCAACGGTTTACTGGATCATACAGCCGTTACTGGTGATACACCACGTGTTGTCATCCCAGATGATACTGATCTGCGTTTGCGGATCATGTTCGAGTATCAAGATGCTCCTACAGGAGGACATCGTGGACGGGAGAAAACATATTTCACGGTGAGTCGAGACTTTTACTGGCCCCGCCAGTATCAGTTTGTGCGAAAGTATGTTCGCGCATGCGAAGTCTGTCAACGAGTGAAGTCAAGTCCTTTACTGCGTGCACCTTTACAGCCTCTACCGGTTCCGTCAGAGTGCTGAGAATCCATCTCAATGGATTTCGTCTTCGGGTTACCCAAAGACGCACGCGGGAATACGGGTATTCTCGTTTTTGTTGACAGATTCAGCAAAATGGTACACCTGGTGGCTATACCAGAGTCAATCACAGCAAGTGTCTGAGCTTGTTTCATTATTAACAACATCTTCCGACTTCATGGGTTGCTCCGTGAACTCGTATCAGACAGAGATCCACGCTTCACTGCTGATTTCTGGCGCTCCGTGTTCAAATCACTCGGAACGCGCTTGAAGATGTCGACATCTGATCATCCAGAGTCAGACGGTCAGACGGAACGAGCCAATCGTGTCCTCGAAAAGATACTTCGAGGATACGTACACTCCTTTAAGAGTTGGAGTGAGTTCTTGCCAATGGTAGAGTTTGCCATTAACAACTCGGTGCATGCGTCCACGACACATACACCGTTTTACGTGAATGGCTTGCGCCATCCGCGTGTACCCACCCTACTCGAATGTAACTCTGGTTTGAGGGGGGAGAGACTCGCGCGAGCAAAAACCAATTTGGTTCACGCTTATCACGCTCTGACGAAGAGGTCATTGCGTTTGATGCCGATATCGATAACATCGATATCGAAGAAGATGATGCCAGTGAGAGCGCGGAAGCCCTCACTGAAGATAAGATTGATGTTGCTGCAGTGCACTCACAGCGCACTGAATCTAACGAGTTATCAGATGAATTCATACTGGCTAGTGAAACGGTAGTCCGTTTTGTGCAAGACTCCATCGCCGAAGCGGTGGATAAGCAAAAGCAAAACGCAGACAAGAATGGAGGGGCAACCACTCTTTTATTTAATAAAAGTGACTTAGTCCTACTGTCTACGGTTAGCCTACCAAAGCATGTAGTGACTAACTTGGGTAGTAGTAAACTTCTACCCAAGTACATCGGTCCATTTCGTGAATTGCATCGCCTAGGCAACGCATACACGATCGAACTTCCACGTAAGATGCAAACGCATACCACGTTTTACGTTGGTCGGCTTAAGCCGTACCATCAGTACGCTGTATCTTCCGATGAAGAACGCATTTGCCTTCAAGCATCTCACAGAGGGCCTTGTGCTCCCGATGGTGGATATCGACAAGGGTCTGAGGAGCAGTTATCTCAGCCCGAGACCGATCAACATTCCCACGAGCTACCCTTAGCTCGTCACGCAGAGACGTCAGAGCTCTCTCGTTCTTAAGCTGAGCAAAGGCAAACTCAGCTCGATGCTCAAAGACAGTGTCCGCCAGTTGGAGACGCCTGTCCCGCTCATGTTCGAGATCGCCGCGTTACGCAAGCGTTACGCGATCAAAGAGGCTCTCGGGGATACACGCTTCCCCGTGATAGTTCGGAGAGCGTTTTCCCTCCTCCTCCACCTCCATTAGAGGACTCTCGTGGTGGCCAGCGCTATCTGGTTGAGCAGCTGTTGAACCACCGCAACGTGAACGGACGTCAGACGAGTTATCTCGTCCGGTGGCGCGGCTATCCCCCCTCCTGGGATACTTGGGAGCCCCGCTCCCAACTGACGGTTGACGTACTGGGTCTGGTCGAGCAGTACGATGCGGCACATCCTGTGCCGCAGAAGGACCGCCGGAGAAAGTCTTCCCGGCACGGTCGTAAAGGGATTTCAGGTTGTCAATCCCTTCGTACATCTCACTAGAGATACGTACGCGCCACCACGGGCTAGTAAGGAGGTAAGCCTCCTTAGGTGATCGCGCAGAGTTGTTCACACAACAAGGGCACGGGTCTCCCCAGCAAAGACAGGGTAACCCACCCTCCTTAGACAGACGATGCAGCTTGTAGCGTGCACCTGTCGGGGTTCTTTTCCCAAACTCATC